CTTTTTATTTAAAGAAGCACAAGGGGTGCTTCAACCCTTCTACAACAAAATGGCACCCACGTCTTGATGGTACCCACATCTGATTGGAGCCAGGCTCCTTACAACCAGAATATGACAAAACTTATAGACCTGATTAAAAACAAAACCTTCTGCACTGCCAAACCCTCAACCAGGGGACCCGAATGTCTTGTAGAATTGCTTCCTCATCCTTTTATGATTTTTGACAGCCATCGCGCACTCCATCGGACGAGATTGCCATTCATGAAAGGAGAAAATGCAGCCATTCACTTTAGATTTAATCCATAAAAAGGTTCTAACTTGCACCCTTTCCAGCAGATTTTCAATTAATCCTTCATCTTTTCGAAATACTTGAGCATTGCGTCTATACCATAAATACCAGGCAACCACTAGAAAAATACAGGATCCCATCTCCTTACCAACTATTCTTCCTAAACCACCTAAGAAAAAATCTGTCATTCCCACCACTGTATTAGGCAAGACACTCTCCACACCCCACCAACTCAACACTTGTGCCCAAACTAACCATGCCTTATAACAAACGCAAAATAAATGATTAACTTCCTCCACTGTCCCATTGCAACGATCGCAAAAAGGCCCTTCTTGTAACTGCATCCCACGTTTTTGAAGGTTTTCCTTTGTTGGGAGCCTATTTAAACATAATCGCCACCCAAAAAAAGTCACTTTTGATGGCACCCAACTGCACCATATTAATTTGCACATCTGGTCCTCTAAAACACACTCCGTAGATGCTAGAAGGTCATAAGCTATTTTTACAACATATTTGCCTTCCATCTCATGAACCCACTTCCAAACATCCCCCACCCCCTCCTTTAAATGTACACCCTCTAGCATCTTCTCCAACATCTCCTCCTCATTTTTCTCATGCCCTATTGTTCCCCTCCTCCACTCAACCCGCCAGACCCATTTACCCTCTTCCCAAAAGCCCATTTCGGAAACCTTTCCTTCCTTCTTCACTGATAACTCAAATAACCTTGGAAATAAATCCCTAAGATTTTTATCTCCAACCCACCACTCATGCCAAAAGGCCACTTTTTTACCCTCACCCGCCTCCCACTTGAAACCCTCAGCCAGCATATTCCTATGTTTCCAAGACTGACCCCCTATCCTAATAATATCCCTCCAAATCTTTGAAGTCCTCGCACACTCAATCGCAGTGATATCGACCTCCCTCCTACCTCCATAGTATTTCTCCCTCACCACCCTTTTCCACAAGCTGTCAACCCCATCACCCATCCTATACCACCACTTCTCTAACATTGCCCAATTTTTTCTACGCAAATCCGGTACCCCTAGACCCCCCTTCGCCTTAGCACTACATACATAGTCCCATTTAACCCATGAAATCTTCTTATTTAACCCTGTCCCTCCCCATAAAAAACACCTTTGAATTCTAATCATCTCCGCAAGCACAACCTTAGGCAATAAAAATAATGACATATAAAAAATAGGTAGTGCAGAAAGTACCGAATTTAGCAAGATGAGGCGGCCTCCGAAGGAAAGAGTGGCAGCCTTCCAGACAGCAAGCTTGGCACGGAATTTATTTACAACCGGCTCCCATAACTTCTTGTTCCCAGATTTACCATCCACGGGCAATCCCAAATAAAGGAAAGGTGCTCGACCAACCCCGCAGCGTAACATTCCCGCTGATCCTTTTAGCCATTTCTCTGACACATTATACCCAAAGACACTGCTCTTTCTAAAATTTATCCTCAAGCCCGACATAAGCTCAAACCATTTTAAGACGTCCTTCACCATACGTATGTTCTC